GCGGTTCCTCGGTGGAATAGGTTTCCTCGGGAGGTGATGGGCTCTCCTTCTTCGGAGGTTTTCAAACGGAGGCTAGATGGCCATCTGACAGCAATGCTGATTCTGTGAACTTAGGCAGATCATGAGAGGGAGAGCAGGGCATGGAGCAGGGGTCACTGTGTGTGTGTGTGGGGAAGGTATTTGTGAATTTTACATGTCCAAGGTATTTGTGAATTTTACATGTCCAGGGAAATGCTGATTGCCACTTTGGGGTCAGGAAGCAATTTTTTTCCAGGCCAGTTTGGCCAGGGATCCTGGAGGTTTTTTTGTCATCTTCTGGGTATGGAACAGTGGTCACTGCACAAGTGGAGGGGGAGGTATTTGTGAATTTCCTGCCTTGTGCAGGGGGTTGGACTAGATGACCCTGGAGGTTCCTTCCAACTCTATGATTCTATGACATTTAATCAAAACAATAACACTGCCCTTTCTGAAATTATGATACAGAGTTAAAATGATCATTTTTTCAAGTGCACATGGTAGTTTGGACCACGTTACATAGGACTCCATACATAAATTGCCTCACACTGCTGAGTTAATGCTGGCAGTTCCTAATAGGCAAAACAGTGAGGGTCTTCTTCCTGCTTCCCAGAAGGGAAATCAGAGCCAGACCTTACAGGTTTTTATTTGTCTTCTTTGGGCTGTCAGGGATAGGAGTGAAATCTCAGGCTGAGGGGGCAGAGATTATTTTATGCTTGTCATTCTATTTGCTCTACCCCATCACATCCATGTGCTCCATCTATGCCCACTCTGAGGCACAAACAGGCTCTTTGTATGACAGCTATACTCAAAGGGACCATGGTGAACCAGAAGACTGGAAAAATACAACACCATGTAAAACTAACAAATCATAGAATCATAGAGTTGGAAGGTACCTCCAGGGTCATCTAGTCCAACCCCCTGCACAACGCAGGAAATTCACAAATACCTTCCCCACACACACACACAGTGACCCCTGCTCCATGCCCAGAAGATGGTAAAAAAAATCTCCAGGATCACTGGCCAAACTGGCCTGGAGAAAAATTGCTGCCCGACCCCAAAGTGATGATCAGCATTTCCCTGGGTATGTAAGAAAGGGCCACGAGAACTAAGCACTGATGCAACCCTTCCCGCCCTCCTTCTCATGATCTGCCTAAGTTCACAGAAGTATTATAATAACAATTGTAATAATAATAACGGTGACAACTGACACACTGTTATATCCAATATATATTAACAATTCCAAAAAGTCAATTTCCAAGGCACAGTGAACATATAAATACACCAGGTGGCATTAGTTCTCACGACTCAAGTCTCTTTGAAGAATTTCAGACAGCATATATATTCCATTTTAGGAACTGGTCACTAACGGTTTCTGTCTGTCATTTCAGACAGAACCGTTTTAGTAATGGTTCCCTGATAGAATATATTTGCCCTTTCATACAGAAACGCTTCTGTCCTGTTCGGGAAGCGTGGCTGAAGCGTTTTTACTACAAACTGCTTCCAACTGGTCTTTAATTCCTTCTACCACTTCTGAAGCGCTATGGGGTGCTGTGTAAAATGCCCCTGTAGCTCTTCCTGCAACAACAGTTCTTTCTCTCCCCACGTGCGATCGTCTCCCCCCCCCCGTTCTATTGGGAGCGCTATGCACTGCAGCAGGACTATAAAGCAGCGCCATAGCGACCCAATTGAGATCCCTGGACTTCATTTAAATACACTGACATTCGCTACTGCATCTCAGCATGGATTTTAAAAGGTAATTTTGGGGCAGACGTATTCATCATGTCTGTTTAAAGGTTAAATCACTGAAAATGTCAGCTATGCTGCCATGGGGTTGGGGAGTTCATTCTGTGTCTTGTTAGTTGTTATTGCATTCCTATCCCTGCTGCTCTGCCTTTTGCTGAAACGCTTATCTCTACAGATGTGCAGGAGGAGGTTGTGTTGTCTGGAGGGCTCCTATGTACCGTGAGAGACTCCTGGCTCTCAGCTTTAGCCACCTAACGGTTGCCTGACTTATCCCATGCGCGGGAGTGTCCCTAATTGGCCAATGCCATGGGGGGGTACATACGAAAACCGTATATCCTATTATGCTCTAGTGGCTGTGGCCATTCCTAACAGTGCCTGTGTTAGTGCATCTATAGCTTTGCAGTAAAAGTATAACCGTTCCTGAATGGGTGTACTTTGTTGTTAGTTGTGGGTTCTGACAGAAAATAGCAGTAAGCACAAACATACCAGCACAGCATGAAAAAGGAGGAGGAGGAGCTTTACTAGTTTGGGCTTTGATGAATTAAAAAGCACCAGAATAGCCTGCTACCTGGGTTTCAAAACCGTTTGGTTCCCCCCCCCCCCGTGCTTGAATTCTGTATCCAGTGAGCTTCTTGTTTCCAGGGGACAGCAGTAGCGAACATCAGTGTATCTAAATGGAGTCCAGGCATCTCAATGGGGTCGCTATGGCTCTGATCTGTAGTTCTGATTCAGCGTCATAGCGCTCCCAATAGAATGTTTAAAAAACCCTCTCAGGGAGATCGTGCGCGGGGGGGTGGGATGGCGGGAAAAGAAAGCGGTGCAGTTTGAAATGACAAACCACTTCAGAAATGGCTCCTTACCAGAAGGGAAAGGCTGTGTGAAACAGCCGTCCCTGTACCGGTTTATTTCATGATGGTACAATAACGGTTTTAAAAGGGTAATGTGAAATCCCCCCCCAAAATTTCTTCTTCTTCTTTTAGAAGACTGAAGCAGTTAGCATGCTATACTGGACTGCAGGGGTCATTTCATAGACAAAGAGCTGCAGGAGCTCATTAGCATACCTAATAATCCATTAGCATAATCGCTCATTAGCAGAAGTGATGTCAGAAAGGGAAGCAAAAAGGGGGGAAGGCATCTTCAAAAACCTCCCCTTCCCTTCCCCAGCCAGCCTGCCACAGTGGCAGCGCGATCTTCCTATTATATTCTATGGGACCATAGAATACAATGGAAAGATCACGCCGCCACTGTGGCGCGACTCCAGAGAGAAGGGGGTTAAACTGGGGAAGGGGGGGGGAGGGTTTTGTTGGCAGGCAGGCTGGGGAAGCAAAAGGGGGAGGGTATCTTCAAAAGCCTCCACTCCCCTTCCCCAGTTTAAACCCCTTCTCTCTGGAGTCGTCCCGCAGCGGCGGCACAATCTTTCCATTGTATTCTATGGGGCCATAGAGTATAATGGAGAGATCGTACTGCTGCTGCGGTGCAACTCTAGAGAGAAGGAGCTTGGGGGTGGGGAGTTGGGGGCCAGGCTTGCCGTCACTGCCATTTGTGCCCGCTCCTGGGCTGCCGGAGTGGTGCTCCGGCATGCTCTGGCCCCAAACAACCCCTGCCGGACTGTAAGTGGTTTCAGTCGAACTTCCTCAGGACTACAAATCAATTGGAACCCAAGCCTTCATGCATTAGGTAAAGCGGAACAGAAGCCTCTAAATGGGCTTGGCAACAGTCTTGTGTCTTTCAGCTTGGTGTAATGGTTCTCATTCTGATGTATTTATATGCTTATTTTTTAGTTTTTTTATTAGTAAACACGACAAATATTAAATAACAACCATACCAGTTATCATGAAGAACTATAAAAACTGCTATCATCTGAATATTAAAATGATAACACTTCAAAAATATAGTAGATCTCGATAGTACGCATTATCCGGGATTATATTAATTCCTGATAAATACTCCACTACAGGAGGCCAAAAGGCTTGAAAATCTCTTTGATAGTTATGTATATTATTCGTCGTGGGATAGCTTGTAATTTGACTCAATATAAATTGCTCCCAGAGTTTATTCTGCCACATACAAAGAGTTGGGCTTGATGCGTCTTTCCATTTTTTTTTGCAATAACCGTTCTTGCTGT